ACTGCCAGTTTCTGTCTGACCCTGTCAGACAGAGGCCTTTAACTGGATGGTTCATTCTAGTTAATTCTCAGATCCAATCCAGTCCTGGACTCAGTACAGCTTCTGTCATGACTTTTTCTTTTTAATTTTTTTTTTTTTTTTGAGACAGAGTCTTGCTCTGTCACCCAGGCTGGAGTGCAGTGGCACAATCTAGCTCACTGCAACCTCCCAGGGCTCAAGAGAACCTCCTACCTTGGCCTCCCAGAGTTCTGGTATTATAGGCGTTAGCCACTATTCCCTGTCTGTCATGACTTCTGAACCCAGTTCACATAAAAAATTTCCTCAAACCAACTTGGAGAGCTAGCTCATAACACAAATTGTGGAGTTTCAGAATCTAAGAGAGAACTTGCCCATACAGTTGTGTGCACCCACCACTCACATGGTCATGCAATGCTCCTGGGGGTTGATGGAAGGTCTCCTTTGAATCCTACTTCAGACACCATGTGTTAAAAGAAAAACGTTATGCAAGATAACTTGAATCGTTTAGTTGAGCAAAGAACAATCCACAAGTCGAGCAGCTCCCAGAACCAGAATGGGTTGAGAGCTACTCCAATTTTTTCTATTTTTAAATATATACATTTTTTACGTTTTAAACTTTCCTGTTAAAAACTAAGACACAAACACACACATTAGCCTAGGCCCACACAGGGTGAGGATCATCAATATCACTGTCTTCCACCTCCACATCCTGTCCCACTGGAAGGTCTTCAGGAGCAATAACATGCATGGAGCTGTCATCTCCTATAATAACAATGCCCTCTTCTGGAATATCTCCTGAAAGACCTGAGGCAGTTTTTCAGTTACGAATAACTTTTTTTATAAATAGGAGTATACTCTAAAATAATGGTAATAGTATAGTAAATACATAAACCAGTAACATAGTCATTTATTATCATTATCAAGTATTATGTACTGGACATAATTGTATGTGCTGTACATACAACTGGCAGTACGGCAGGTTTGTTAACATCAACAGCACCACAAACATGTGACTAATGTGTTGCACTACAATATAATGACAGCTATGATGCCACTAGGCGATAGGAATTTTTCAGCTCTACTAGCACCTTCCAGCAGCCTCTGGCCCAATCAAGTTGACACATAAAATTAACCATCACATTGAGGAATAATTCACAAGCAACAAACTAAGTCCACTTAAAGAGTACCATTCTATAAGTTTTAACAGTTCAGCACATCTTAAATCCATGCCTAAATCAACTCCCAAAAGTTTTTTCATGCTTTTTTGAAGTCCATCCCTCCATTTGTCCCTGGCCCAGGCAAATAATGATCTGCTTTCTGTCAATATAAGTTGTTTTTACTTTTTAAAATTTCATATAAATGGAATCATATAGTAACTACTCTCTTGTGTCTGGCTCCTTTCACTCAATATAATGATTTTGAGATTCATCCAAGTTGCATGGCTTAGTAGTTTGTTCTGTTATTGCTGAGCAGTATTTTATTGTATGGATATACCATGTTTTTTTTTTTTATCCATTCACTTGTTAATAACATTTGTATTGTTTTTAGTTCTGGGCTATTATGGATAAAATCACTTTGAATATTTCTGTACAAGTTTTTGTGTGAATATATGTTAACATTTCTCTCAAATAAATACCAAGAAATGGAATAGCTGAGTCATGTGGTAGGTATATCTTGAACTTTTTAATATACTGCCACAGTTTTTCATAGTAATTGTCCCTCTTGCATTTGATGACCTGTATATGAGAATTCCAATTGCTCCATATTTTCACCAGCACCTGTTATTTTCAGATGTCTTAATTTTGGCCATTCTAATGGATGTGTAGTGTTATCTTATTGGGATTTAATTTTTATAATTAATAATTTTGAACATCTTTTAATCTGTTTATTGGTACAGGGCCATTTTTATATCTTCTTTTGTTAAGTGTTAAAATATTTTGCCAATTTTTAAAACATTGTATTCTTATTGTTGAATTATGAGTTCTTTATATATTTTAGATATAAGTACTTTGTCAGATATATAGGTAATATACATATACTCCCTTTCTGTGGGTTGCCTTTTCTTAATGATAACTTTTGGTGAAGTCCATGTATCATTTTTTTTTCTTTTATTGTTTATGCTTTTTGTGTCCTATCTAAGAAATATTTACCTACCCCAAAGATTGCAAAGACTTTCTCCTATATTTTATTCTAGGAGTTTTATAGCTACCGTGTTCCCCAAAAATAAGACCTACCCATAAAATAAGCCCTAGCAGGATTTCTAAGCATTTGTGCAATATAAGCCCTACCCCAAAAATAAGACCTAGTGATGGGCGTGGCTATGCAGTGTATTTGCGCAATCCACGCATTTCATCGTGGAGTGGTAAAGAAGATGAGCAGCCCTTCTCATCTTCCCCATGAGAGCTCTATTGCTCGACATGAGAAATTGGGGCCAATGGTTCTAAAGGAAATAGAGTCGCAAGAAATTCAAGATGGAATCGGGGTTTGGAGAGTTATGATGATGTTCCAGAAGAAGACAACTTAACTATATTTGAATGAATGTAGATTGTTGTACTGTACTTAAAAAAAATAACACATCCCTTGAAAATAAGCCCTAGGGTGTCTTCTTGAGTAAAAATAAATATAAGACAAGAAGACAGAAGAATGGCCAACAAACATATGAAGAAATGCTCAACATCTCTAATCATCAGGGAAATGCAAATCAAAACCACAATGAGATATCACTTAACCCCAGTGAGAATGGCCTTTATCAAAAAATCTCCAAACAATAAATGCTGGCGTGGTTGCGGAGAGAGAGGAACACTCCTACACTGCTGGTGGGACTGCAAACTAGTTCAACCTCTGTGGAAAGCAATATGGAGATACCTTAAAGCGATACAAGTGAATCTACCATTTGATCCAGCAATCCCATTGCTGGGCATCTACCCAAATGATCCAGTGACACTCTACAAAAAAGACACCTGCACTCGAATGTTTATAGCAGCACAATTCATAATTGCAAGGCTGTGGAAACAGCCCAAGTGCCCATCAATCAAAGAATGGATTAATAAAATGTGGTATATGTACACCATGGAGTACTATTCAGCTCTAAGAAACAATGGTGATATAGCACACCTTATATTTTCCTGGTTAGAGCTGGAACCCATACTACTAAGTGAAGTATCCCAAGAATGGAAAAACAAGCACCAGATATATTCTCCAGCAAACTGGTATTAACTGAGTAGCACCTAAGTGGACACATAGGTGCTACAGTAATAGGGTATTGGGCAGGTGGGAGGGGGGAGGGGGGCGGGTATATACATACATAGTGAGTGAGATGTGCACCATCTGGGGGATGGTCATGATGGAGACTCAGACTTTTGGGGGGAGGGGGGAAATGGGCATTTATTGAAACCTTAAAATCTGTACCCCCATAATATACCAAAATAAAAAAATAATTAAAAAAAATAAATAAATAAATAAATATAAGACCTTGTCTTATTTTGGGGGAAACACGGTACTTGTATTGTACAGCTTGTGGGGATAATTTGTCACCTCATTTTGTTGTAAATGCTGCCTAAGAGTTTTTGGCTTATTATCTAGTTGCTCTGTTTTTATGTAGAGATTCAGAGAGATTAAAAAATTATGCCACCACTATTGCTATATTTCCAGAATGACCCCTGTAAAACTGTTATTTTTCCTATAGTAATAATTGTCTTTGTTTTCATTTGCTTGGTGTATTGTACCTTTATTAATTAGTCCCATATTTTCACAGAGCTGCATATCTACTGTCAGCATGAGAAAACATATTGGATAGTTGGCTCCATTTTGCTTTTGCAATTGGTCCTTTATCTTCCTGACCCAATCTGTACCTGTTTCTCTCTAGGCTTTCTGCACAGCTCTTATTCTGGGACTTCCCTTCACTGTCAATCTGGAAAATCTCTACTTTTCTTCTGTAATAGATTCCATGATTCCTAGATCCCATGTCTTCTACTTTTGGGGTTTATTTTTGTGAGGAGACTGATGGTTGCCTATATACCTTATATTCGTTCTTCCCTATATCTAAGAAGAATCACAATTTATTTGTGTGTGGCAGTGTGTCCAGCCAAAATCCATATTTTTCAGCCCCCCTTGTATATGGCCATTTGACACAGTTCTGGTTGATGTAATATAAGCAGAAGTTTCTGGGTGAGTCTTCCCAAAAAAGTTCTTAAGAAGGTGGGAGTGGCAGTCTCAGTTGGCACGTATATCATGCCTTTTGCCCTTCCCTTTTTTCTTTCAAGGAAAGAAGATGTGAGTCTTCCCATGGAGAGAGAACAAAGAAGTCACTTGGACTGAATAATTTAGGTTCCTATAATTTGAGATGAATTAAAAAAATAAAATAAGGCCGGGCACGGTGGCTCACGCCTGTAATCCTAGCACTCTTGGAGGCCGAGGCGAGCGGAGTGCTCGAGGTCAGGAGTTCAAAACCAGCCTGAGCAAGAGCGAGACCCCGTCTCTACTATAAATAGAAAGAAATTAATTGGCCAACTAATATATATATATAAAATTAGCCGGGCATGGTGGTGCATGCCTGTAGTCCCAGCTACTCGGGAGGCTGAGGCAGAAGGATCGCTTGAGCCCAGGAGTTTGAGGTTGCTGTGAGCTAGGCTGATGCCATGGCACTCACCATAGCCTGGGCAACAAAGCGAGACTCTGTCTCAAAATAAATAAATAAATAAAAAAATAAGACTTGAATAGTGAAAAAAAGATTTCTCATTGTAAATTGATAAATTGGCTTTTGGGTTCATACATTAGACTCTATGAGCTTATTTAATTAGAGTTTATCTTGAGAGATAAACCCAATCTTGGCTTATTTTAAAACTAGTTTTCTTAGATTTCAAGATAGAGGAAAAGACTGTGAGAAATTCTTCCCTCTCTGTGAGGCTTCTTAGGAGTTAGCACCACCAGCCTCATCTGGCAAAGATCTAAACACACCAAACTTTTCTTTTGAACTTCAACAGATTATGTATTTGTACAATAAAACATGAATGCTCCACTGAAGAAGAAATGGAATCTGACTGAGAGGCAACCCACAAGGAGGCATAAAAACTTCCTCCTTCACAAGGCTACTCCATACTGGCTAAAGGGTTATTCAACCAATCATATTCTCTCTTTCGGAATCTGAATGTGAGACACACAGAGAGGTATGTGAGACACATAGAGAGGTATGATGGCAGAAAAAACATAAAAAGAAAAGTCATGAGATAGTGAAGTCACGAGTAAGTGGAAATCATGAGTAAATTGAAACAGTATCAGGATACATGAGTTGTGTCATATTCTGATGACAATCCATTTCTTTGTGAAATCTGCTACATATGTAGTTTCCTATTGCTTATTTCCTTATCATCTTTATAATCTCTCAATATGTCACTTAAAGTAATCTGAATGGACTTTTGTGCCTTACATCTTTAAAGAGTAATAAGCACAAGTATTTCCCAAATTGGTTTTCTCATTTCTTTGCCCACTACCCTGTTCAGATTAAGCCTTTATTCTTACTCACATAGATGACTAGAATAATAATTAATAGTTTCCCAGCTTTCACTCTTCTACTATGCAAACTTGCTAAGACACAGATCTTATCATGTCACTCTTTGTGTTCATGGCTAATGCATACGTGAACACTGGCATGTCATACAACAGTGCATTGTTGGGTTGGCGGTAAAATGGTTCCACTCTGTCTCCTTCATATGCCTGGGATATTGAGAGTTGGAGGAGCCTTATCATATCATTTCAGGAGGGAACTGAGGACCAGAAAGGCCAGAGATCATTTCATTCACACTTTTGGCTTCCATTACCAAGTATATGCTGGTGACTCCTGCTTCAATGTCTCCATGCACTCCTGACCTTAGATGCATATAGCCAACCCCACATCTCCACTGGGAGAACTTACTTGAATCTCAGCATGTCTAAAGCAAAGCTCATCTGCTTTCCTTTTGTGTGAGAGTGATTTCATTTCTCTCTTTAGAGACTGGCATCACTATTCGTTCAAGCCCAAAGCTAAGAGTCCTGTTCTCCCTCTCCTTTTTACCTCATTCTTCATAGGTAAGAAATCACCAAGTTCTCTAATATTCCTTCTTTAATTTTTTGAATATAAGCTCTTCACTCTATTCCACTGAATTACTTTAATCTGATCCATCTTTCTCATATAGGTAACATGCAGGTCTTTCCCACCTATTATAGGATCATCCTCAATGCATTCTCGACTGTGCCTCCATCCTGGGTGACTATTTAAATAAATTATGATATACCTATGAAATCTAATATCAAGTAGCCTTTACAAAGAATGAGACAGATTTGTATGTGCCAGGTAGAAAGTTTTCTAGGATAATATTTTATTTAATAAAAAATGAGACAAGAATGTGATGATGACGGATGCTGTCTCTTTGCTGCATCTACTGCGAGAATGGAGACCATTCTCAGCAATCAGACTGTCGATATTCCAGAAAATGTTGACATCACTCTTAAGGGACCCACAGTTATCGTGAAGAGTCCCAGAGGAACCCTGCAGAGGGACTTCAATCACATCAATGTAGAACTTAGTCTCCTTGGAAAGAAAAAGAAGAGGCTCTGGGTTGACAAATGGTGGGGAAATAGAAAGGAACTGGCTACAGTTTGCACTATTTGTAGTCATGTACAGAACGTGATCAAGGGTGTTACACTGGGCTTCCATTACAAGACGAGGTCTGTGTATGCTCACTTCCTCATCAATGTCTTTATCCCGGAGTATGGGTCTTTTGTTGAAATACGAAATTTCTTAGGTGAAAAATACATCCACAGGGTTTGGATGAGGCCAGGTGTTGCCTGTTCAGTATCTCAAGCACAGAAAGATGAGTTATTCCTCAAAGGAAATGACATTGAACTTGTTTCAAATTCAGCTGCTTTGATTCAGCAAGCCACAACAGTTAAAAACAAGGATATCAGAAAATTTTTGGATGGTATCTATGTCTCTGAAAAAGGAATCAGTTCAGCAGGCTGATGAATAAGATCTAAGAGTTGTCCAGCCACATGAAGACACTGCATGATTACTAAGATGTATTTGTAATTTTGATGATGCAATAAAAGAGCTGTTGGTTTGGGGAAAAAACAATAAAATAAAATAAAAAATGAATAGTATACATGGCATTATCTTTTTAGGCATATTTATAAAGTATATGAAATGTTGTTGCTATAGTTTGGTTTGTTTGACCTTCCCCATTTCATGTTGAAATTTGATACCCAATATTGGAGGTGGAGTCTAATGGGAGGTGTTTGGGTTATGAAGTTAGATCCCTCATGAATGCTTAGTGACATCCTCTCAGTAATGAGTGAGTTCTTGCTCTATTAGTTCCCACCAGTGATGGTTGTTAAAAAGAGTCTGGAACCTCCCTCTTCTCTCGCTATGTGATCTCTGTACATGCCAGCTCCCCTTTCCATTCTCCCAAGAGTGGAAGCAGCCTGAAGCCTTCACCAGAAGTGTCGCTTGTGCCATGCTGCTTGTACATTCTGCAGAACTGTGAAACAAAGAAACCTCTTTTCTTTTTAAGTTACCTAGCTTCAGGTATTCCTTTATAGCAACACAATGGACTAAAACAGTTGTCATATGCACATGTAGATTATTTTTATTTTTATTAGAGGGAGAAGTACTCAGACCCTAGAGAGGTTAAGGCAAAGGGTGTGGAGACTTTGTTTTTAAACTTTCAATTAGGGAAAATTTTAAACATGCACATAAGTAGGGAGAATAGACAATTCCTTTCTTCCCCATCTCCCAGCTTCAATAATGATCAACTTGTGATTAATCTTCTTTTGTCTGTACGCCCACACATTCTACTTCTACCTCCACTGTATTATTTTAAAGCAAATTTTGGGATACTATGTAATGTAATTGGTAAATACTTCAGTGTGTATCTCTAAGTCAGTGCTGTCCAACAGAAATCTCTGCAATGATGAAAATGTTCTATACATATACTGCCCAATACAGTAGGTACTAGCCATATGTGGCTAAATGAGCACTTAAAATATGGCTGATCTGACTGAGGAACTAAAATTTTTAGGTTTCTCAAATTTTAATTGACTTAAATCTAAATTTAAATAGCCACATGTGGCTGGTGGCTGCCCTATTGGACAGCACAGCTCTTAGATATAAGGACTGTTTTTTAAAAAAACATAACTGAAATATATCACATCTAAAAATTAATAATATTACCTTAATACCATTAAATTTTCCATTCTACTGTTCAGATTTTTGAGATATATCATAAATGTTTTTTATAGTTAATTTTTTTGAATATAAATTCACACACTTTTACAGTCTGTTGATATGTTTCATAAGTTTTTTCAATCTAACAGTTTGATGAGTATGCATCAATTTTCATGTTATACCAATCTATGTAGTTTGGATTTTAAGTAATTTTAAACCATGGATATATAATTTTTAACCATTGGCATTAATATATCATCAGAGATTGGGTGGTGTGACTACATACCACTACTTGTTGGGATTAAAGAATGCTTATCTTTTTGTTTTTTAAGTACAAAGCTCTTTTTATTCTTGCCCATAATCAAAACTTTATTTACAAACTGACATCAAAATAGGAGATCACTGTTGTATACCTTACAACATCAAATGTAATTATCTTGGTAGATTAACTGGAATTACTAAACTTATGATAAGGCTTTCTGTGAGATAACGCAAATTCAGGAAGTTGTGTAGATCATTAATGTTGCTTTCTTCTAAATGAACACCCTTCTGTGAGTCTGGCCTTTCTTCCTGTAGGCTGGCACAACACTGTTGAAAACCTACAGAAAGAACCACTGTTTGAGCATGGCTAAAAACTGTGGTAATCTTGTAGCAATCTGGACATTTAAAATCCATAAAATAAGAGTTTAGACCTTCAACTAGCTGTTTTTTTTTCTTTTTTGTTTTTGTTTCAGAATATTACAGGGGTATAAATGTTTTGGTTACCTAAATTGCTTTCATACCATTTGAGTCAAAGTCATAACTGTGTCCATTACCCAGATAGTGTGCATTGTATCTGTTAGGTGTGCATTTACCCATCCCTTTTCCTCCTCTCCCACCTGCTGGATTTCCTATGAATGTTATTTCCATATGCACACGTAAGTGTTGATCAATTAGTTCCAATTTATGGTGAGTACATGTGGTGTTTGTTTTTTCATTCTTGTGATACTTCTCTTGAAGAATGGTCTCCATTTCCATCCAGGTTAATACAAGAGGTATTTTAGTTCACCATTTTTTATGGCAGAGTAGCACTCCCATGGTATATATATACCACATTTTATTAATCCACTCATGTATTGATGGGCACTTGGGTTGTTTCCACATCTTTGCAATTGTGAATTGTGCTGCTTTATAAACATTCGAGTGCAGGTGTCTCTTTTACAGAATGTCTTTTTTTCTTTGGGTAAATACCCAGTAGTGGGATTGCTGGATCAAATGGTAGTTCTCCTTTTAGTTCTTTGAGGTGTCTCCATATTACTTTCCATATAGGTTGTACTAGTTTGCAGTCCCACCAGCAGTGTAGGAGTGTTCCTATCTCTCCACATCCATGCCAACATTTGCTGTTTGGGGACTTTTTGATAAAAGCTATCCTCACTGGAGTTAAATGATATTTCATTGTGGTTTTGATTTGCATTTCCCTGATGAATAGAGATGTTGAGCATTTAATCATTATGTTTGTTGGCCATTAGTGTATCTTCTTTTGAAAAGCTTCTGTTCATGTCTTCTGCCAGTTTGTAATGGGATAATTTGGTTTTTTCTTGCTAATTTGCTTGAACTCAAGCTGTTTCTTTTTGTGCTTTTTCTTTTCCTCTTCCAAGGATGATGTAGTAAATCTCTAGCCAAAGGCATCTTGATCCTTTCACAAGCCCAGCTAATCCAGACCTCTCCTGAAGACATTCCTGAAAAGCAGCACATGATCTGGCAATCAGCATCAACTTTCCCAAATCTTGTTATATAATTTCTCTACCCTAAAGGGCTCATTCTCCTTTCTCTGCCCCAAACGGCCCCTCCTTAAGCTTCTGAGATTTAATTTCCAAATTCTTTACTTTGTTTTCCCATCCTTAGAGATTATACCCCTTTCCATCATATCTTTAGTGTTCTCTGTTTGCCTTGTCAGTTTTCCAATGCCTGTTAATGATTCTTTATATTAAACAGGTGACAAGATGTCATATATGTTATAATCAGAAAACTTTCAGACCATCTGTCCATTTATCTACTATCCATCTTTCTATTGATCTAGCCAATACATTTTCATCATAAAGTTTCCACGTTTTGTGGAGATCACTTGCCAGTCTGACCTGGTATAAACAATTCTCTTTATAATGTGGTTTGCAGTACACCTCTGGCTCCAGTGTATCTCTCTCATTGCTGGCTGCCTACTAAAATTTCCACCATTAGCAGAGTCATCATTTTGGGATGAGTTTTGCATCTCTGGGGATCCTCTTAAAATCCAGATATTCTTCATATCTGGATATGAAGTAGAGTATGGTGTCATTTATATCATACCATAGATTAGTGGATCATATTGTTCATTCACCTGTCAGATCTGTGACAAAAAGGAGCACAGAGCATTGCAAGTTTTCGTAACTTGACTATGAGCCCTTGTTCTTCTACATCCTTAGGACCTGCTGGGGACTTCTGCACATTATACCCTCATGAATATGTGTCAACTGCATGGGGCAGTTGAGGTGGGGACAAATGAAACAGAAGACTGGGAGTGGGATAGTAGGCAATGTTTGAGTATGGCAGCCTCACAGCCAGGAGGCAGCCAAGAACAATGATCACCTGAACAGGGGAAGCAGCAGAGAAATTGTAGGAAAGAATGTTGAGGGTATACTTTGCTTATTTCAAAAGTCTTCTCTCAGGCTGGTCCCATGAGGCAGAAATGATGCTAAAGAGCAGGCATCCTCAAACTATGGCCCGTGGGCCACATGTGGGTGTTTTTGCCCGTTTGTTTTCTTACTTCAAAATAAGATATGTACAGTGTGCATAGGAATTTGTTCATAGTTTTTTTTAAAACTATAGTCCGGACTTCCAACGATCTGAGGGACAGTGAACTGGCCCCTGTTTAAAAAGTTTGAGGACCCGTACTAAAGAGAAATCAAATTGGCAACAAACAATCTTTCTGGGAATGAGAAATCATTTCTTGTGTCATGGTATTGGGCCTCCTTTTCCTCTACTGTGTCTTTACACGTCAGTGTGAAAATTAGTCATAAGATCATGTTTACTGAGAATCCCTGACACAGCCAAACTCAAGCTTTGTGGAATGCTACAGATTAAGAAATTGTATCTCTTGTCTTATTAAGCAAGACCAATTTTCCTCAAATAGCTGTAGGGTGGGGAACTGATGAAGACTTACTCATGTAGACCCTGTCATTTCCGTCTCTTCCTCATTCTCATTTAACAAGGTTTTCAGCTGACACTGACACTTTTTATCAGCTTTTCCCTTTTCTCCTTCTCTCCAAAATTTGCCAGAGAAATGTTTATCTATTAATATATCAATATTGATATCCAAATCGATATTTGTTTTTTCCCCACGGAGCTGTCCTCATGGAGGCCTTCTTTGTATGCTAAGCAGCATTATAGAAATATTGGAAAAGCTAGAGGGGAAAAGGGTCGCTCAGGCTGTACAAGAATTTCATTGCTCTTAAGTTTTCGGAGAAGTTTTATGCTTTGGAAGCTGGTTTCCTGATTGTAGGCTACAAGTTGAAAAGAAGGGGAAAGGAACTAATGTGGGCATATAGAATATTATTGAACTTCTACTTGTGTGGTCAGCAAATACATACCTATTCATAACATACCACTGACTGCACTACCAGAATTGAGGTGCAAGAGTTATACATCCTTGCTTTGTGCTCATGAGTCCAGTGGATGCCAGGTAGTGTTTCCTAAAGGAAAGATAAATTTGAAGATAGAAGGACTGGATTTGAATCCTGGATCTCATGCTTATTCCAGGTCCCAGAGCAAGTTAACAATTTAATGCCTCTAAGCCCCAGTGTCCTCATCTGTGAAATGGGAATATCAATCTCTACAATGTTGAGTAGCTGGAAGGGATACATGAGACAGCACCTGGAACACAGC